TCAACTCACGATTCGATTCACAATTTTGATTTCACGATTCGATTTATGATTATTTTTATTTATTTTTTTAAGACAAATTTTAAATTAAATGTGTCCTTTTATTATTTCTTGGACATAATGCTGCACGTTTGTGAAAGTGAAATATATCACTATAATAATATACTAATATAGCACTTGCATATTATTGCTCTTTTGTTGGTTTTGATTGCTTCTATTGTCCTCATTTGTAAGTCGCTTAGGATAAAAGCATCTGCTAAATAACAAAATGTAAATATAATGTAAATGTAAATAACAAAAATAAATTGAAATTTTAAAACAAACCCCAAATCAAATAAATAACACAAATAAAAGAAATTAACTCAACAACTCCTACCCCTAAATGAATCGCGATTTGTTTAGCATCTGAACCGATTTGAATCGTCACATATTTGATTCGATTTTCAACCGGCTCGCGGTTAATCATTACATCCCTAATATACACAGTACACATCTATTATGTAAACAAAAGCTTTTATTTTGGATGCGATTAATCGTTTGATGGCACTACTTTTTTCTATTTTAATGTTTTAAAATATAGTTCATACTAGGGATGCTCCGATCGATCGACCGATAATCACATTTTATGAATCGGTCGGTACTCACTACACTTGGCCGATATCACGAAACGATCGCAATTTGATGACGTCAACGCGTGACGATGTACATGATGCGTGGGGACATAAATGATTTGGCGCCACCGTCATGTCATCACCGGTGTGGAAATGCTATGCAGTGTTGCCAAGTCCGCGGTTTTCATGCGGAATTGGGCTACTTTAACACTGTTGCTGCGGGTTGTTTTTCATGTCCGCGGTTTTAAGCGACTCCAATAACATTTATCCTCTGGAATGCGAATTTTAGCAGGGGAACCCTGCCAAAAACTTTTATTTTACCCCCAATGAAAAATTAGTAACGATGAAAAATTAGCTATTTGCGTGTATGTTTTGCATGATGATATGATGAATGGATGGTTCATTTTTAACAGCAGATTCAGTGACGTTAGAGCTGATCTGCGCCTCGCTGCACACGTCTGCGGCTCATTAGCCTACTCAATAGCATTAACACAGGCTTTACTCCTTTCAAACTTTATCTGGAATGTCACCGTTTCTGTCACTGCAACTTCCCGATCAGGCGAACGAACACACACACAAAATTGTCTGCCTCATGAAAAAAATGTAGTTAATATTGTAGTTAATATTTGCTTCATTTATGATTTATTTTATCCACCCCGCCACCCACCCGCAAATAATCAGAATGCATTTTTTATTGCATTTTTATACCCGACCTGCAGATTATCCGCAGCGCCCGTGGATATAGGAAAAGCAAAATACGTTTGCTGCGTAAATTAGACGGACTTACTGAAAATGCAAATTCATTCTCTGCCAGCCAGGAGGTGCTTTAAAGCGGGAGAAACAGAGGTTTCCCCAGTAATGGCTGTACACAGAGCAGCATTGAGCTCACAAACGCTGCTTCATCGGGCATATTACATGCAAGATGAAATGAAAATGACATCGAAAATTTTCTAAAGATAGTCTTCCTTCAGAAATACAGTGATATAAAAACACCCGCACCTCGTTTTGATTTTTAAACGTGCAGTACGTGCTCATGTTTATTCAACGAAGCCTTTTGGAAAATCGGTCAGTTTTGATATTGTGGCGAGCGCCACAAATAAATGCATGGGAAACACATCCCACAGCACAACCATCTGAGCCCAACTTCAGTCTACTCATCACCTTAACTTTAACTGCGTTTGTAGCCGGTGTCGTGCCGAAAATGGATCATCTGCCGAAAACTGAGCTATAATCTATCAAAATACCCTCGAATGCAATCAAATCATTTAGCTCATGCAGTCCTTTTTACCTGTTGAAATACCCATAAAATGCAGTTTTACACTTGCCAAAAAGTGATTACAGACGGCAATCAGTTTTTGGCAGACGATCAATTTTCGGCACAACTCCGGCGCCATAGCCAGACTGATAAACAAACACAGACCGGAAGTTAACTTCGGGCCATGCGTGTGCGCCCGATTAAACCGTTTATATAAAGCTTGAAGCATCAGAATCAGTATCGGTATCGGCCGATCACCATGACAAGAAGTCTGTACTCTGTATCGGCTGCAAAAATCCTGATCGGAGCATGCCTAGTTTATACCTTATGATTGCAAGGCTGAATTTTCATCAGCCATTACTCCAGTATTCAGTGTCACATGATCTTTCAAAAATCATTCTAATGTGATTTGATAAATTTCTTGAGCTGAAAATCATTGTGCTGCTGCTGTTTTTTTTTTTGTGGAAACTTTAATACATTTGAGTCAGTGGTGAATGGAAAGTTCAATAGAACAGCATTTATTTGAATTTGAAATGTTTACTTGACTGTATTTCACTTTTAATCAGTTTAGTGCATCTGCTGAATAGAAGTGTTAATTTCTTTCAAAAAAAAAAAATCTCACTGACCCAAAACTTTTGAAGGGTAATGCATATAAATATCTTATATAATTTTGTTTATATACTTTTTTTTGTCCTCAGTGAGGCTGCTGGAGCCACAGATGGTTATCATTAAGCCACGGGGGAAGGTCGTTTTTAGAGATGTCTTCTGTGGAGCGTACTTCACCTTTGCTGTGTCTAAAGAGGGGCACGTCTATGGATTTGGCCTTTCCAATTACCACCAGCTTGGTACGACTCCTAGCTCATTCAGTGCTGAAGATTAAATGGTCTGTCTGTTGCTGAATTTTTAGAGAATTTTCCTTCTTGCTCCTTTTTACAGGCACCCAAAGCACAAACACCTGCTTTGTTCCTGTGAAACTCAGTTCTTTCAAGAACTCCACCACCTCTTGGGTGGGTTTCTCTGGGGGGCAGCATCACACACTGTGCCTGAATTCAGAAGGTAATTCATCCGTGAACCTTATTTGTGTTACTCTTACATTAAAATGAGACTTATTTTATTTTAAGTCATGTGTTCCACCAGTGGTTCAGAATTTGTTCAACTGCTGTCTTCATCCACAGGACAAGTGTGCAGTCTTGGTCGGGCGGAGTATGGCCGTCTGGGCCTGGGGAAGGATGCGGGGGAGAAGAGTGAGCCCACACCTGTTACCGGGATCAGTGACGTTCAGATAGTTGCCTGTGGTGCCTCTGTGAGCTACGCTGTCACTAAACAAGGTGAGACTGCACCCTGTCCTAGTTCTCATCAATTTCACTCACAATGATCTCTGACCACTTTAACCCAAAACAGATCCTTTTTGGCTTTGGGTTCATTTTGACTAATCTTAAATATTTTTTAATACAAAACCTGGAATGCATTGTAAACGGTTTCAGACCACACACAAATTGTGTTAAATGCAACTAGTGATTAACCTGTATCTGAGAGGTCCTTCCTCTATGAAATTTCCTCTAGGAAAAGTGGCTAAAATAACACTACCATTTAAAAGTTTGGGATAAGTAAGATTTTTTTTTTGTTTTGTTTTTGAAGTAAATCTCTTGTGCACACCAAGGCTGTATTTGTTCAAAAATATAGTAAAACGGTAATATTGTGAAGTGCACTTATGTTATCAAGATTTTTGCATTTAAAAATTTTTTTTTTTTTTGAAGTAATAGGATATTTTCTGTCCTGTTTTTAACCCCCTCATCAGAACGCTTTGTTTGAATAAGTATGGCGGATTGTAGACTCTGATTTTTCTGATTTCATGGTTTGGGTTGTAGCATTGTTTGTCCCTGTAGTTTTAAATGGCAAATGCCTCAAATGACACAATGTGTATGTTGTTCACAAATGTATCTTCAACCTCTAATTACATGAATTGCACCAATCAGAGCAGTTTATTTTTAGGACCAAATAACAGAATGTACTGTTGGCTTGTTTTGATCATCAGAGCTGTGTTTTAGTTTTCTAACATTGCTATCTGTTGGCCAGGCTCTGTGTTTTCCTGGGGCATGGGCACCAATCTGCAGCTGGGTACAGGAGAGGAGGAGGATGAATGGAGCCCAGTGGAGATGACGGGCAAGCAGCTGGAGAACCGTGTAGTTCTATCAGTGTCCAGTGGAGGGCAGCACACGGTCCTGCTGGTCAAAGACAAGCAGGAGAGCTGATCTTTAACTCCTTGACTAAAGACAGCTGAGCCAAACTACTGTATCAGTGGTATCTGTAACCTATAGCTTGATCATGATCGGGGTGTCTGGGGTTGGGAATGCTTCCTGTGCTGAGCTAAGCCAGCGAATGAGGGAGAGGGTAGGATGAGAATCATCTAATTAAACCTTTTATCCCGCTTTAGGGGGAGCCCAAACATTCACTGGATACGGTCCGGTAGATGATCGAAGATCTTTTTTTATGGACTTTGTTTCTTTTTCTTTGCTTTGTCTTATTTTTAACAAAGATCTTTAGTATGCTTCCTGGAGACCGCCTGTCGTGAGTGATTGTATGCATGTATGAGCTGAAAGGTGATTTAATAAGTCTTTTAGATAAGTCCTGGAAAACTTTTTTTTTTAATTCCACATTTTGGTCTGAGCAATAAAAGGTTTATGATAGCAGGTCTAATCTATATCACTCACACACAAAAAACTGATTTGGTATTCCTGTACTTTGCAGTGTTAAACTGTTTTCCTAATTTCCTAAATGAAACCATTATTGTATCCATGCATTGCTGGCCCTGTGGACACTTAATAAAAATGAGGTTTTACAGAATGTGATGTATGATTACTCGTTGAAAAAAAAAAAAAAAGACACGAGCACAGACATTTAGAGGAGATTAAAGCGAAAAGCGTCAATTTTTAATGTCTAGTTTCAAACCTTTAGTGATTATTATTACCTTTACAGGGTCTTGTGTGTGTGTGGGTTTTTTTCTGACATGCTTATATTTGTGAGTAAATTTTGATTTTAGGCAGAAAGTTTAATTAATTTGAAAATATAGAAATCTTAATTTTCATCTTATTCTATAATTAATTTCAGACATAAGGATTACATTTATTAAATGTTTCTACAAGAATTTCTTCTTGTAGCTGCACTTTAAAGTAAAAAAGATATTTTAAAGTAACATCTCACTTTTAGAAGTGCTAAATGTTTCTTTGTATTTGTGCTGTTTATCCACTGGATGGCAGCCATGTGCTCTCAAGTTTAAAGTGAGGTTCTTCAGTTAATTTGCTTGCATCCTAGTATAATCCTTACAAAGTGTTTGGTTTTAGATTATTTAGATTTTTTTTTTTTTTTTTAAGTAGCCCAACAGCCGCTGTGTCAGTCTGTGAAATGCCTACTTTTGTGTTCCACAGATGAAAAATTGTTTTTTTTTTTACATTTATCTGAATTTCTTCTATAGAAGGTGGCCCTGTGCAACCAGAAGAAATGTATACTCTGCTATATGAAATGTCAGAGCTGATGCTTACATATGTATGTCCTAAATTGTTGAAAACACTTGAGGCTGGAAATGGTTTGGTCACTATTGATAAAATTTGCAGATCAAAACACCACTTTAGCATCCATGAAGGGGAAATGGTATTGTGCTCCTGGTCTGGTCTTTATGTTCCAGCCCACAGTGAGTCATGCTGAGAGACTTTGTGGGGTATTTCAGTTGAAAAGCCCTTCAAGGCCCACTTTCTCGGAAAGCTTTGAAATGCTAACAGCCTCTTCTGCAAGCACTTAATTGACCACCATCATTTAATGCTGTCATCAATGTTTTCTGATGTGTGAGGTGTGAGGCAGCTGCACTGAGAAGTGGACAGGGCACTGGCTTTAAATGTTATTGTTTTTAATGCCAGCAAGCTACATTAAATGTGTTTGAGAGGGACATCCTTATTCGCAAAAGTATAAATGACTCATTGTTTCCATCATGCGCTTCCAAACCTGTCATGGAAAAGTTTCACAGCAGGCAGTTCATGAACTGTTTAAAAGCACTGCTCTTTAAAGGTGCACTCAGTATTTTTGTCTCATTAAAAAGTTTGGCATATGACGTTAATTCTTTAAAAAAAAAAAATTTTAAATCATGTACACATCACAACCAGCTGGAGCATTTTTCTTTCATGAAGCAAATTTTCACTAGTGAAATTTTAAAAAGAATCCATGCAATCAGGAATTTTGAGTGGCAAATATTTCCTCACCTCAGATTTTGCAGCAGGTTCAAGTTGGTCACATGGATTTGCCACATTGGCCAACAGAAAGCTGTTCATGTTTTTTTCTTTTCCAAAAAACAAAACGATTATAGAGTGCACCATAACTGATACAACTGTTGACATGAGTAAAGCGCTTCTGTTTTCAAAACTGAAAACTGGCATGCCTGTAATTGTTGGGGTTAGATATGATATTTTCTGTTCTTTCAGGCATGAAATGTGCATTGTATGTTTATAACATCAGGATGCCTTTAACCATTTTAACCATTAGACCAGTCGTTATTGATGGTTGCTCTGGAAACTGAACAGAGCAACTCTTAAAGGAAGATTGGTTTTATTGGAAATGGGTATGATTTTACCATATTCCCCTGAGATAAATTATATGGGAACTGAACTAAGCTTAGAGCATAACTGACCTAATATATACTGCATTTAATATTTATACATATATTTTGTTTTAGTTATATGTGACAGTTGACAGTCCAATATATATAAATATATGCTAAAAAAATATAGTCAACTGAAGAGGCTATGCATTTCCTCCTCCAAAGAAATATTACTTTAAGTTTTTGATTTAGCACTTTACCCTGTGGACATGTTAAACATCACTTGCCAAATGTGAGTTGAGTGTAAAATCTACACTTGACTCTTGATTTAGCCCGCAGCTTGTTAATAGCGCATCTCATAATAAGGACACTGAATGGGGTTGAGCGCAATTTAGTGCAGAGTGTGATCCTATTGATCAATCTAGCTGACATGCTGTGTCTCTTGTCATTACTGTGCCTCGTGATGCTTCCCTCCACCCAAACAGCATTGCTCTCAGATCTGCCATTATGTAACTGACACTCCAAACCACAATCACGAAGAACCGGAGAAGCACATAAACGACATTTGCTGACCATAATGTTGTTGTTCGTTATTCAGGCCATTTGCTCATCTAAGATTCTGTATTTGTGTCTGTTGGCCGGTTGAGAATCTGTATCCTCCCATAGCCATTTCCAGAGTCCATTATCCCTACTACGGCACAAGGAATACGCCAGTGCTTTAAATGTCAGGGTGCCGCTTTCAAATATAACAGGTGGGCTGCTTCTCGCATCCATAAAGCCACAGTAAACAGGATCCCTCTTTTCAATTAAGCTGCAAAAACAAACCAGCTTGGACTTATTAACACCATAGTTTCACTCTTGACTTGCTGACAATCAACATATAAGTGTTTCAGGACCTATTTTATACCCTGTCTGTGAAAAGGGCAGAGATCCTTTGGAGCCCTTTGATTTTCATACCTTATTTTTGGTTTCTTTCCATTGTGACAAATAAATGTGGACTAATTATTTAATTTGACCAAATTAACAATATAACTAAATATACAATGAACTAAATAGAATCGCTAAGTTAAATCGACAGTATGTTGTAGAATTTTGAGACTTTGGAGCCCCCTTCAGTTAAGTGAGTGCAATTCAATGTTGTAAATATAGCACTGTAGTAATTACAGTGGATAGCTGTAATGTTACCTTTATTATTGTAAGATACGAGGGTCTGTATTACTTACCATTGGAGAAAGCGTAACGGTCAACTTGGATAATGTGTGCCTTGACAAACAATCACATTACAGCCTTGAAGTCATTGAATATCAAACAGAGTTGTGCGACAGTCAATCGCCGTTTACGGATACTATAGAAATAATGTGCCGTAAAATAAATTCTACCTGTCGCAAAAAGTCAGTGACTTCTCTTAAAAAATTGCTTTTTTTTTGGTGTAAACTCTAAAAATAGTTCAATTCAAAACTACTGTTTAATGACAAACAAGTTGAAGATTAGCTGATAGGCTGTCAATTCTTTAAACGATAAGCTGTTTCCTCACTAAAGCGGTTTAGGCTCCTCCAGTGACATCCATTCAAAAACAAAAAAGGCCTCTGGTCTCTTTCCCTGCGTACAGGGAAGCATTAGCATTAGACGTTGCGTTAGCATTAGACATTACGCTTTTTTGGCTAAAGGTTGCAGGCTTGCCTTCCAGTGGCTTTGGCTATACATGTGCATTTGTTGCTGCCCCTAAAGCCCATTTCACGCAATTTCGTACCGCTCTCCAAACTTACATAGGCCTACTCCCAGATCTTAGGAGGGCGCGAGGAAAAAAAAACAGAAGCCATTCACCTTATTAAAAGTAAGTGTACAAATCAAAGTGAATTTGAAACTGGTAATTCAAGGTTTTAAAAAAGCATTACACCCAGTTTTACCATATTGTTTTTCCATACAATGGAAGTAGATGGTGACTTAAAGGTGCAGTGTGTAAATTTTGCGAATTGCAACCAACGGCTCAGTCCCCTGCTCACCCCTCCCTTTAGAGAAGCTACGGTGGCCAATACAGGACTAAGATGTCGTCGGTAAAGACAGCAGAGAGCAATGAGATTTCTTTACAAACGTAAATTAAGGAATTATATTTACTTATTTAATAAATCGATGTTATTGCGAATATTAATGTACTTGTTCATCATTGTGTCAGTGGTTTATTCGCAAGAATAACAAAGTGACGAGACGCGCTGTGTAGAGCAGTTTGTCCGTTTAGGGCTACTGTAGAAACATGGTGGCGACTTCCATGTAAGGGGACCCGCGGTGTATGTAGATATAAATTGCTCAATCTAAGGTAATAAAAACATAACGGTTCATTAAGTAAGGTCTTTATACACCTCTGAAAACATAGTTATGTATATTATATTGCATTTCTGTCAATAGATCGATGTAAATATTACACATTGCACCTTTAAATAATTATTAACTGACGATGCATTTTTTTTAACTAGCCTGAGTAAAATGACATTTTGTTTCTTATGACTAGACAGACGACAAAAGTCAGCAAAAATACAAACGATTTTCTTTATACAACAGTCATTATACAACAACCTCTTTTTTTATTTTTTATCTTGTTTCAAGAGCACTTATCCAGTATATTTCATAACAGGGGGTCTATAGGTTGTCTGCTGAAGAGATTATGTAACAGTGCTTGAGTCTCTAACCTTTACAAGTACCTGCAGAAAATTAGCATAGTAGTTTTTCATTTCTCTTTTTAAGGCTTTTGTTATATTTTTACCAAACACAATTTAAATCTTCAAAACACATTAAAAGTTTGACAGGCTTATTTATCATTCAATAAATACTGAGATGATAAATTAATTTTTTCATGAGATGATGAATGTGTATCTTAGAAGTCTTGCTCGTCATGTGAGTAGTGAAAATTATTTTAGATAAAAGGTTATTTTTTCCCAACATCCATGCAACCTACAGAAAATTATTATTATTATTTTTTTAGCTTTCACAACATAATCACTGACAGTTAAGATCATTTGTGATGTCTAATTCTGGTGCATCCATAAAAATATAATCATGAGGAAATATCCAACAGTTGCACAAAAGTACATACAGGTTCTACAGCAAAGCAATACTCACTGCTAATACATAAACATCCTTGACTGGAAAAGGTCTGTCTATAACAGCTCAAGAAACTAAACTCACTCTCCTTTTACAACAAAGCCGACATTTAGAATCAAACGCTAATATCACAAATATTGAACATGACTCATTAAATGTCATTTCAACTTTGGAATTTGAAGAAGGTCAATAAACAGCTATTCTGTGCTAATGGCAATGAAATGCAAGAATGGTTGCACTAAATACTTCATTACAAAGAACTAAGATGAAAATATCTAAAAGCCCCTCTGTAATAGTCTCAGAGCTCATCTACACATACTGTATGCTCCTAGTATGAACACTGTATACTTCATAGTCAAAGGTCATCAAACACCTTCACTAGTAGCACAAATTTACAAAATGACACCTTATCAAGCACCATGAAATGAATAATGTGTAGAGAGTTTATATAACAGTGTGTTTTAACAGCCATCTTGAGGGAAGGAGCCCTGTCATTCATGCAAATCTATCCTGCAAACATTGAGATGAAATGTTGCTCCATTCTCTCTGTATCCGACACCTCTCTCTTTCTCCATATATATTTATCCTCAGGTTTAATGAAATCCTTTTATTATGGAGTGGAAAAAGACCTCTGTACATTTTCATTGTTCGGTGAAGCAAGATTGCTTCTCTCTTTAAATGAAAATCTTACAGCTTATTTTATTGTTTGAGAAGTTGAATTTGTGTATTTAGTTCATTGTTTGGACATTTGTATTTCTGTTACAAGTTCCTACAATTTCCAAGGAAATGCATTGACTTTCATTTAAAAATCTGAGTATGGGAATCGATTTTGATGGGTCATATACCACTCATGAATGTAGATTTCCTGTTGACCATTCAAGGCCACATCTTTGATGTTTTTTTTTCAAAGCATGATTACTGTACATTGGTCCAAATGATATCATTTCCTCCCTTAGGAAAACAGTTTGCAGTGAGCCATCCATTGCTTTTCCACAAAGTGAAATTAAGAAAGGTAGAAAAAAAGACTAACAAACCAACATGGCATTTTGCCTTCAGTATATGGGCTTGTTGTCAAGTTGTATTTACCTTAAAGGAGCTTAAAACTCAGTGGTGGAGATCTGGGTGTCCTCAGACTGCAGATCTTTCTGTGTCCTTGGTTGTGTATCAGAAGGCATCTGTTCCAGGTCTAGTCATGTGGGCTGTTTCATCGATTCAGACTTGGCGCACACCGAGATGGGCTCTCTCGTGGCACTACGGGCTCTGGAAAAGCTGCTCTGCTCCATGCGGGAACGAAAGGGCAAGCAGAATTCTCTGAAGCACCTCTTGAAGTTTTCATCCAGAAACGCATACAGGACTGGGTTGAGGCTGCTGTTCATGTAGCCCAGAGCAATACACAGATGCCAGCAGGCGACCACAAGCAGATTCTTCTGGTCGATCTCCACCACAGTTTTGATGATGATGAAGATATGGATGGGGGTCCAGCAGATGATGAAGGCCGCCACCACCACCAATACCATACGGGTTATGCGCCGGAGGTTCCTGTCCTTCTCTTTGGAGCCGGACAGCAAGCGTACACTCTTGAGACGAAGGATCATCAGGCCGTAACAGATGGTGATGACCAAGACGGGAACCACAAAGGCGAAAATGAAAACACAGATCTTGGTCACAGTATCCCAGTACCAATCTGGGTCTGGGAATTTCAACGTGCAGACTGTTTTGCCTGTGAAGAATGTATGTGAAAAGAAGATAAGAAGGTGAGTCTAGAGTCATTTCTTAGTTGAATTTACTGATCAGTTCTAATTTAATGACTTTTTAAATTATTTCCAGTATTTACTTCTTATAAATCTGGTTGGCCATACAGCATTCCAAGAGCGCTGAAATATATTATTCTGTGCACGTTATATCATTGTGCAAGGTGACAACAAGTGACTTCCTGCATCCCTACTAATAGTATGTGAGAAGTAGTATGTCTGAATTCATAGACCAGTATGTGAAAATCTGAAGTGCGCATTTGATGGGCATTTTACTAGGATTTGTAAATGGCAGTGAAGCAACACAACTGACGCTGTAAGGTCATATGATAATAACAACATGATATATGTAGCATGTCCAAATTTCATTCATCTTATATAGGAGGACATAATGTCAAGTCAAGTCACCATTATTTATATAGTGCTTTTTACAATGCAGATTGTGTCAAAGCAGTTTTACAGTATTAAACCGGGAACAAACTGTTTACGAACAGGGAATTAATGTTGCGAACAAAATTTCAAACCAAATGTAGTACCTACTAGACAGTATGCAATTTATACACAGATATTGACTTTATGATTAAAAAAAAACTCATTCAGGACCCAAGACAAGTTACTGTCCTAATGAGCGAGTCATTGAATTATTCATTTAACCAATTTGTTTAAATAGAATAATTCATCCAGGAAATGAACACTATGATGTGCTGCTCTGAGAGCGTTAAACAATTCAGTATGGTTTTGTTTTTAAATATCTAAAATATTACTCCGTAGAATTCAAATGAACCAGTGGTTTCATCTGATGGGTTGTGTTTCAAAAATGTCAATGGTTTTGACAGCAAATAATGAAATTAAATTTATAAGATAACTTATAAAAAGAAACATCAATCAACATCCATAAGTGTGCCAGGTTTGCACAGGTTTAGATATCAGAATCAGCCGCTGTTTACAAAATCACCCTATTCAGCCTATGCAAATTTAATTAATAATTCTGCATATTACATGCTAATGTAATATTGCAATTCTAAGTTCTTCAGCACAACCAGTTGAGAGAATCACTGATCTAAAAAAAAAAAAAAAAAGTCATATCATGTTATACTAATGCTCGTCTATGATTATGTGCTGTCGAACTGAGTGACAGCCATAAATTCACTGACCAATTGAATCATATACTTAACAATCAATAAGCTGAATAACACATACTTTTTCCCACTCATTTTGTCCTCACCTGTGGGTGTCACTCTAGTAACGGCCATAACCATGACTGGGAAGCCGACAGCAGAGGAGAGAATCCATATGCAGATGTTGATGATCTTTGCTTTGATTGGTGTGCGGAAGTCCAGGGCTCTCACTGGATGGCACACAGCAATGTAACGGTCTACACTCATCATCGTCAGAGTGAAAATACTGGTAAACATGTTGTAGTAGTCAATAGCAATGACCAATTTACACAAGAGCTCCCCAAATGGCCAGGTGCTCATGAGGTATTTGGCACTCTGGAAGGGCAAAGTACTGGTGGCTAATGCATCAGCCAAAGCCAGGTTAAAGATGTAAATGTTGGTAGCTGTCTTCATCTTTGTGTACCTGAAGAAGAAAAGAGAAAAAGTCAGTCTGAGATATTCAGCAAGATGAACACTTCATAATTTTCGAATGTCGATCTGCTGCACCTGGGTTTGCAATGACGATATGAACATTGATGAATACAGATGCAGATGAATGGGATGCACTGATTGTGCATGATTTGAGGTTCTTCTCTGCTTTGCCCTTTTCATTATGAATATCGCATATGATTAACATGATGATCAATTTAAAAAAATGGAAAAAAGAGAGAACCATATGTGCTCTTTTAACACCCTTCCACATTGTAATAAACTTTTATGTCAAGAATTAAAATGTCAACCTATGAAAATGATGCCATGCATTGGTATATTCATTATTCTTTATATTCTGGTGATTTGATAAAAACATTATTTTTTTCAAAACTTGGCTTGTTATGCTTGTTTTCCATTAAAACACAACATTAACACAATATAGTATTTTTTCAAACTTTTTGGATATATTTTTAAGCTACTAGTAAAAAAATTTGTGCCACATTTTTTGAACAATCATTATTTTAGTTATTATTATTATTACTATTATTAGATATATAATGGATGATCTGGCTGTAATGGCTAAAAATTAAAATTTTAATGGCTGTCAGTGCAGAGATTGTGATAAATTGTATAATTACAACATCTACCAGCAGGTGCTAACAATATGCTTTCATTAAATGAAGGTGTCTCTCTGTGATATCATACAATAATCAGCTCATAATTTTCTCTCTCTTTTTTATCCAAATTAGTAGTAGGCTGATGAATGATGGGGTATCCTTTGAAAGGATGTGACCATAGTTACTAAAGAAAAGCCCAATGCCAAAGGCATAAATTCGTATCCATTGATTATCCTCTCTTTGAGATTTGTCTGGTGCCCACACACTGTGATATCTTTTGAGGACTTGACATTTGAAGTCTCACAGAGAAGAAGAGAGAAGACAGCACATCCATTAGTGACACTACAGTTTATTCCTCTCTTTGTACATGGCTACTGTACATGTGGTGAGATTAATAAATCCATTACAAGTCTTTTGTACAGAGTGCATAATATGTTTTGTTGTATATCCATGACTCATGTTTGTATCTCTAATTTTACACTAGTCCCTCATTCTGGTTTGCTATGTTTTGTCCAGTTGTACTCTTAGCACTGCCATGAATCACGTTTCACACTAATTCATTGTATCAGGGAACATTTTTCTGTCACAAACCTGTTATGGAAAATAATGTTTAGAGGTAGTGCCATGTTATTGACATTTAAATGGTGTGTGGGCACAATTTTCCAATGATTGTTTGTTTTGTATATATTTTTTTATTGTTGACCAATGAATATATTGCAAATAGTTTTTTGTAATTTTAAGCAGAAACTTCACTAAATTTAGTTATGTTTGTGCTTAAAACAAGAAAAAAAATCTAAAAAGGAGTCTTAAAATCTCATGTAATTGTGTTTCCGTTTACTTTTTTGGGACGTTAAGATATTTTTACAAGAAAAAAACAAACAAGAAAAAAAGGTATTTTTTTGTGTAGCATGAGAACTAATGGAATAAAATGAGGGGGAAACTTTGATATGGTTGCAATCTAAAATGTATTTATATCATGTTTTCTGTCTGCAGTTGAAACTTTAGGGGGAATTATTAATGAGTTCTTTTCACATCAGACTTCCTATTGTACAGTTTCTGCCTTCCAGGCTGATACGCTTTAATACTCTCTTCTGCTACATTTTTTTACGTCTCCAAATGGGAAAAGGCTTCTGTGAAAGACAGGCAATCCAGACATCGCGAATATGATTAGCTCATTCAGACTGTTCCTCTTAGGCAGTGGCTTGCACTCCTGAAGATATGTGCTGTGAATAGATTAGAAAGATGTGATCTAGCTGAATTGTAATAGTTCTGTGATCTGAACCCCTCGGAGGGAACTCCATATATTTCAAGGCAGGTCTTTTTGGTTTTGGATTTTTGCTCCGTCCGATTTTCTTTTGCCTAAATAGGCAAAATACACAGGTTTCTAAAGCTGTGAACTACGTATGTATGTTTTCGTAGTTTGTTTTAAATGTATGCAACCTAACATAAACACTTTATTTTCTTATGAATAATTAGCTCTGTGCTTGGTAACATCCTTTTCCTGGGATTGATAATACTCATGCTGTATTATTTGTGCTTGAAGTTCTTCACAAACTTTGGTTGAGGGTGTGGAGCTTTTGACACTCTATATGTGGAGCTTTTGGCTCTCTATATATAGTTTATAAATACACAGTGCTGGGAAGATTACAAACTGCAGTTAGTTATTGAATTCAAGTTACATGAGGAAAAATTGCAATTAGTAATTACACATTTTAGTTGTTAATCTGATTACTTTTGACCTACCATGTGTATCACATTAATTATAGGCTTATAATGTTCCATACTGATATGAAGTGCAAAGAGAAAGAAAACGTATTCCATTCTTTGTTATCAACAACACGAAGTGCAATAAACATCACATCAGGGTTTTCCCAAACTGGGATTTGTAAAGAACTGCAGGGAATTTGTAAACTGATGAAAAGCCAATAATTAATGAAATCGTAAAAGTATATTATTTGTTTATGTTCTGAGGCCTCTCAATTGTCTGTGCAATTACAGCCACCTGACTAGTGGCTGGTCTGTGTGCAGTCGCACAAAACTGGAGGACTTTCCAAACATATCTAAGCAATTGGCTTATAAAAAAAATGAAAGATAAAATGAAGAATTTGGGAGGATGAATCAATTATGAATAATTTACTGCCATTTTTAAATATTATCTAATCAATAAAAACAGTAACTGTGGTTTGATATGACTATTTTAAAAAGTAATATAAACTAATTACAAGTATTAATTTTTGTAGCCTAATCCAATTATCTAATCCAGATTACATAGTGACTGTAAATTGCATGAAAAGAACATGAGACCAGATGATAACAGCAGCTTTCACACGTGAGCTTTGAATTGTACATGCTGTGAAAATTGTTATTCCTCCATAAACTACCCCTGAGCTAAACTGGCATATCTGTGGGTGATGTAATTTGGACTGGTTCTGTTCTCTGTTCCATTGGTGCTGAGTGGAGGGTTCTCACAGCCACCCTCAGCACTTCAAAAATCTCACTCCTCAGCCCTGTCTCTTATCTTCCACCACTTGCTTAGATTCCAAACAAAATTCCATTTCCACCACATTCTCTGTAGCTACTACATTCCCGGGGTTCAAATATATCTAAGAAATATTTGCATGCGTGCATCTTTCTCTTTAGACTTTGTGCACTTAAACTTCTATTTATTAATGTCAAAATGTGATAAATTAAATAATGATCATCCCACTTCCTGAGACTTCTGAAGTACATATTCACTGAAATAAACTATTTCTCTTACCTGACCACACCGTACATAACCAGAATATTTCCAAACAGTCCCACCACGCAGATGACAGAGTACAGCGCGGTGATGCACACAGCGATAGCGACCGCAGTGCTGTCTTTCACCGCCTTCGGCTCGCTGCCTCCGCTCCAGTTGGACAGAAGTCCCGCTGGTTCCTCCATAAAGCTCGAGTTTGGCAGAATTAAAGGATACCGCTCGGAAAAATCACTAACAGTCACTGTTATAGGCTCCATTATGCGCTTTCCCTGTATAACGCCAAACGCCTTCTAATTAAGTAAAAATCATAAACGTCTTTAATCTAAAAGACAGAGAAAGATACAGAACAGCAGCTGAAAGAACATCAACTCCGCTGGTCACTCTGGTCACTTTACGCAGCCCTCCTTTTCTCCTCTCTTCTGCTCTTCTCAGCAGCGCACTCGACTTCCAACTGAGCGTGTTGCTGTGCATGCGCTCGTACTTTCTCCCGAAGTTAGTAGCCTTATACCATAGACGAAAGACTAGTGCAACACATGGCAACTACGCCCGCACTCAAAAGTGTCACTCGCAATACTGGAAACGTGTACTAGCCATGCTATTTTACTATTATAAGTGCGTTTATTTTCCATTTTAGGTCTACACAGTTCAAGTAAATATAGTTCAGTTTAGTTCTGTAGAAATCTGTGAAACACAAAGCCTAAAAGTTATATTTCTCTGAGTCTATCTATCTATCTATCTATCTTAGGGCTGCCAACTCTCACGCATTCAGCCTGAGACTCGAAATTGACACTGTTCTCAAGCTCTCATCACAGGTCCATTTTCTCACGCAATGAAAAGCACCCTCAAACGAAAGCAAGATTTGCCAAATCTGTAGGCGAAACAGATTCGGCAATCGCTCCATTGCATATTAGTGTTTGCGCTCTGGAGAGCATCAAAAGTTTCTATTTGCAACGCCTTTTTGTAGCGTTGAGCAACGTAGCCAATCACAGACATATCCGTTGATTTCTGGGACACTTTTGATTGGCCATGGCGTTCAAGTTAGTCAGAATTCACTCGCAGCTCAATGTTTTTATCTGCACGCTGGTGAAACGTCTCATTGTAATGAAATACAGACACAATGTAAATAAGAGATTCATTGTACAGTGCAGAGAGCTTCTTTGATTTTAATGGAACTTGTTGAGTGACTAGCAGCTTTTTAGTGGTTATAAAGGGAGAGCTACATATCAAAGTTTTGTTTTTCGTGCTGCTATCAGGACCAGCGGCCACATACCCTGTACATGCACCAAAGTCTCGGGAGTGACATATAAAACCCTCATATAAATATGGGATTCTCTTTCGAAATTGCAGTGACAGATTTACATAATGATATAGCAGTGTACGGTAGAAAAGTAGATGTGCATTATGCAATGTAAATGCAGATTAATAATTTAATAGAAAATGTTTGAATTTTGTCTTTTTTTAATAGCTTTGCCACAGTTTTCACAAGGGCCTAAGTGTTACATTTGTAAAACTCTTAGTACTAATATCTCTTAGTACTGATAATAAGTGCACTTTAAAAAAATTGATTTCATCATGTTTTCAAATGTGTTAGTACAATACACAGAATCACAAAGCATCCTTTTCACTACAAAAAAAAAAACAATTGTTTCATATAAACATTTCATTTTCAGTATAACTGCTCTTTCTTTCAAACTTTTCATTTGCATCTCTTCTCGTTCAGTTTAAAATATTTGTCTATAATCGAATTGCTCTTTATATTTAATCAGTTAATCGTTTGGTAAATATATACATTTCTAATATAGATTCTATAGATATAGTTAAAGAACTTGTTTGTATTTTCCTATAGGAATAACCAAATGTAATGAATTATTTTTACATTTTAAGCAATTTGTCTTAGATGATAACCACTATGTTCAAAGTTTCAAAACCTCGTGGCCGTGTCATACTTCATAACAACTTTTGATGACACACTGAATATATCATTACTAATCATTACAGCCCTGTATCTATCCTAAATTCATTCAACTCAATCCAGAACGACACTGCTGTAGGTCTGATCACCAATGCGAAAGAGAAAATTGCCAAAACGCATATAAATCAATAATGTTGCAAACTTCCAACATTATAATTATTAATGGATATGACCTATGCTTAACCTTTGCTGTTTTTGCATTTAGGGGTTTAAGTTCTTGACCTTGCTGCTTTAAGGTGACAGATTTGTCAAGATAGTGATTTTGTCAAGCATTGCTCTTGGCTTAATTTCCTGAAAAACAGGACACCATCTGGAGGCTTTGTATTTAAGTCATAGTAGGCAAGCTGTTACTGCATGTTGTTTTGGTACCTCTTAAGACATTGTTGAGTTCATTCAACTTGTAAAAGGCCGGCATTTTTCCTCTATGTATATATTTATTCTGTCTACATCAATGTACCAAATCACATTTCTCTTATAAGTACAAACTTTAACTGACTTAGTAAAACACTAATGATAACCACGTGCTCGGAGGCATAATAATTTATTTCCCCACAGAGATCCCACTTAGGAAAAGAACACAGGGAAAAATTTGCAATTGGCACACATTTTGATAATGAAATCCTGTTCAAGTGATTACACGATCAGTTCAATCATGAAGAATCTTCGCTATTCTGTGACTTCTAAGAGCAGGGGTTGTGCGGAAATGAAATTATGTAACAGAGGAAAATCAAATTCATGCACTTGACAATATCCTCTCTGATGGCTCTAATGGCTCTCTGCTGTTGTAACAATGTACTTTTTATCCAAAATTCATGATAGGATAAATATTAAAATTACATTTTGTATAAGCTTTGTATCACTCAGGTAACAAGATTTTTTTTATGGAGGCTGTTAAAGGGGTCATATGATGCTATTTTAAAGATCATTATTTTGTGTATTTGGTGTAACAGAATATGTTGACATGCTTTAATGTTCAAAAAACACATTATTTTTCAAATACTGTACATTATTGTAGGTCCTCTATTGATGTGACCTTGTTCCCCTCACACACACACACACACACACGACGCGTTACTCTGCGCTGCGCAAAACTCCGCATTTGAACAGTCAATAGCAAATACTTAAACTAATAACAAAACTTACTTACAGTCGCTGATTCAGAAGTTTTTAGAAATATCCTTTGTGCACAGCCAGCCTTGTACTATTCTAGGTTCAAAAAACTGTCGTCCATAAAATGCCTTGCACAAATTCAAACATCTGGGTTGTGCTGTTCTGTTCGGAAGGCCAAATAAAGCGCTTTTGCTTTCGCACTGAAACACAGTGTCTCCCTGACATGGCTGCATCAACAGGACTGCTGTTCCTGAAACCACGCCTTCTTTCTTTGCGTGCACATTTGGGCGGCATTATGCTAATATTTCCACATAGTGAGGTAGACATGTGGGGGCGTGTTAGAACGGGCCGTTTTAGGTAGGCGTGGCTGACTCTTAACTTTTATAAAGAATATCTCTTTGGATTTGAGACTTTAGTCTTTGCAACTTTACAGATCTTCTTTATGCACCAAGAGCTTGTAACACTCCAAAGAGAAAGGAAAACTTGAAATCGCATCATATGACCCCTTTAAAAGAATGAAACAAACAAAGATCAACAAATAGACAGATTACAATTTTTATGATGAAACATTCTGCAATGATTTCACACAGAACAGAAATCTTCCATGATTTAAGAAGACAAAAAGTGCTATAAGATCCTGTTTCTAAGTGCCATATGAGCATGGCCTGGCAACTTTCAATGAGACTGAGATGACATTTGACTCGCATGACATTAGTATAATGAATGACACTGTATTATAGCTGTTAGACAGCGATTTTCAGAGCAACCACAAGCTTTGATTTGGACTTGGGCTGTTTTGCTCCATGCCCCATAGGTCACCATTTTAGCTGGCCAGTAGAAATCTAAACTGAGAGAGCATCTGTTGTTACAGATGGCTTTATAAATATGCCTTGATGAGAGAGATCGGATCATTAACTCACATAGACCATTTCATTTCTTCTCAGACAAAATATTCCTGGACGTTCTCAGTATAAGTTTTTCAAGACAATTTAAAGACGCTTGCTTAATTTTTTCAGTTTAACTAACAGTTATACCTGTATGTGTGGTTCTAGCAGGTTTGTCAGAGACCAGATGCGGAGCTTGGCCACAAACAGACTGAAGTCTGCTTTAGTCTGACAAGTCCAAGAGCCAGATGCACCCATTAAACCATCTGATCATAAGCCAAAGTGTCTTCTTAGTTGTGAATGAACTGACCATATGCCATTCAGACAGAAAAATGATTGAATATTGGCTAAATAAAATCCTGAGCCTTTTCAAATGATATTTAAATAATATTTAAAAAATGTTTATGGCAGAATAAGAAATATTTCTTGACTGTTCATATGATTTTGATGTCTAGCCATAAAAACTGAAGCCTTGCCAAGAAAAACAAAATACCACATAACCTGCCAATGTGTGCCACCAAAATTGCCACCAAGTCTTTTAGTTTCAATATAACACTGTCTCTTACTCTGTTTAACACTAGATCAAATAATACATACAGAACAAAACCAAATGATTATCATAACAATCATATCTCAGCTATTGACACAGCTTAATAATAAATGTATGCAAATCTGATTGAAACACTAAACGCAGGGTCTCAACCTGTGAACAAATTTGTAATTGCAGCTATATTTATCACTGGCTTGAATGCCAGGTAAGTTTAAGTGGTCTTATCTAGATTAGCACTTGATGTGAATTATCTGATTGATCATTCTTTCTTTAAAGGCCTCATTAAATCATACATCTAGAGTGCAGACAGAACATCAAACACTGAATAATAAGTAAACACCATAGATTTCATTCAACCATGTAGTAATATGTGCTAGAAAATGTTGTTATAATTTAATTCAGTGTGATTTGACAGATTGTGTAATGCTCAAATATTATGTATTGGATTGTTATGAAGCCCCGTTTTGCCCAAGGATCAGTGCATAAGACGATGGGTTTGCTAAATTATCATTATAATGTGAGGGACAGAACAAGCCGCGAATGCCATTAGCATCTAATCAGTGTTTCTGCCTCTTGTCATCAGCAGAACTGATCAATTAAGGCTACTGGGAGTAATTTTCTTTTCTTTTTTTTTTTTCTTACCTTAACCAACAAGTATAAAGCCCCCGCCTAATTGTTCCCTTTAGTGATTGATTGACTGACTTCATTGTTTTTTTTTTCCAATCCGTGGCTGAAAGGCAGATGTCTGTTGTTAGCATTCTTATTGCAATTACAGTTTACAAGGCTGCGATGCATGTCAAAAA